AGCAGAAGCTCATCGGGGAGCTGGGGGTTGGTTGAGCCGACCGTATCGTGGTCGGCTAAGGGAAGTTTTTTGGGAGAATAGTTTTTTGGGACGGATCTGTCAGTTTCGGGAAGGAACACAAAGTCTGTCGGAACCCAGTCTGCATGGAGGTGATATTCTCTGCCTGTGAAACACTTTTGGATCGTCAAGTGATGTAAAGTTTGTTGGATTGCCTGTGCATTGTCACCCAACAAGGTGATGTCATCGGCATATTCTAAGTCAACAACTCTGTCCCCTGGGAGGAGTTCGACTCCATCATTTGCCAAACCGGACAAAGCGGCCTGTAGAACATCCTCTATGGTGAAGTTGAAAAGGAAAGTGGATATAGGGTAGCCTTGTCGAACTCCACCGGAGACGACGAAGGGTGGTGAAAGCTGACCATAGGCCCTAACCCAACCTGAGGTATGACAATACAACACTTTGAGAGTCCGAACTTACTTCTCCGATACACCATTCTTCAACAAACAGCTCCATAGTGCGGTCGTATCAACAGAATCGAGGGCCGCGTGAAGTCTAAGAACACAATGATCGTTGGTCTATGGTAAGCATGACGGTGCTCAAGCAGCTGTCGCAGGATGAAGGTTTGGTCGATGCAGCCACGACCGGCACGAAACCTAGCCTGCTCCTCACGGGCATGTGCCTCGCGCGTTTTGTACAATCCATGAAGAATGACGGACGCTAACAGCTTTGACGCCATTGGAATCAGGCTTATACCCCTATGATTGGTGCAATCATTGCGCGGGCCCTTTTGAAGATGGGGACGAAAATCGACTCCCTCCACGAGAACGGGACCTGCTCAGTGTTTCAAACTTTAACGAACAGGACTTGGAGGTCTCTAGCAAGCTTCAACTCACCATCTTTAAATAGAGTTGGGGGAAGGCCATCGGAGCCCGGCGCTTTGTGACATCCCAAGACTTGAATTTCCTTAAGGATCTCGACCTCAGAAGGTGGGTATGTTTCTTTTATTACACACTTAGGTGTGATGAATAGAAGACGGGGCGAACCCCATAGTCACGAGGACCTGCTGTTCAGGGGAGGAGACCGGTAGCCTAAGCCCCGGGACTTGGAGTGGGGAACCATATAAGGCCCCGTTAGGCTAGGCGTGGTATTGAACCGGACGACAGTAAAGCTGCCTACCACCAAAGTTGGGTGGCGGTGGTGGGGCTCGAACCTCGGACCATAGGGTCCAAATCACACCAGTGACAGCGACTAAATCACTGCGCCACCACCACCACCCCAAGTCATCTCCTCAGCCGGGAATCGAACCCGGGCCTTCCACGTGACAGGCGGAGATACTCACCACTATACAGACCATGGGACGTGCGCCGGAATAGCTGTGAGAAGCTGACGCTTGTGGCCAGCTAAACTGTGTTTTGAAGTTCTCCACCCAGCGTTCAAGACGTCGCTGTTGATTGTGAATAAGCAAACCGTTAGCTTCATAGATCGTTTCGTTCACATCCAAAGTTTTCCTACCGGTGCCCCAGATGAGATGGAACAGCTTACGAGGATTTCCCATGGCGGTAGCACGTTAAATTTGTGATGCGCGTTGAGACCACCAGATTTCGCGATCTCTGCGTTGGCCTACGTTAAATTCACGTCTCATTACAAGTCGTGTTGCGTTATGCTCGCTGCCGGTCGGCAGTGACCGACGTGCGTCAAGAAGGCGCAAAGACTCAGCGAAAATCCAGGGTGTCACGACATGCATATCAGACCACAACTAACTAAGCCAGCCGAATGCACAGCATTCCTGATAAGCCACCAGTGCTCACTGATGTAATCATATAAAGGTTGGTTCTAGCTTTTCAGCTAGCGCGTTTCGAAAGACGGCTAAGCATGATGAATGAGACAACTTATCGCAGTCTAACCGCCGCCGTCGTACGTTTAGGACACCCACCGAAGTACATGGATAGCTTGGTGAAAACTAACGCGTAATCGGATTCGAGGGTAGTGCTCCAGTACGATCGGCAGTCTTGTATGCAACTCCACCATTTGTGGCTCATAGCGATGTGGTCTACTTGGGTTTGTCGCTGATTCGAAGAGAGTGGACGCCAAGTGGCGTACCGTCAGTTGGAGCGTCTGAAGTTTGTACTGGAGAGGAATAAGCGATGGTCACAACATAGAGTCAACAGCCGTTCCCTCTTTTCCGAGCGACAGGAATCTAGTCCGAAAGGATCACCCAGATGTGCCTCACTCGAAGTCAGTCGGCCTACTCTGGCATTCATATCTCCTGCTAAAATCACGATACCAGCCCAATCTGACTTACGTAAGAGGTCGTGTAGCTTTTGGTAGAAAACATCTTCGACTGTATTTGTGCTACGGTTTGTGTATGCATAAGCTGAATCGACAAACAAGTTTGGTACTTCGGAGAGACGACTAGTTACTTTGCACGAGCCTCTAAATCTCACTGCGCATAACCTAGTGTCGGCTGGGATCCATTCCAAGAGCGCGGCTTCAGTTCTCTCACTGAGAGCCACGCCAACGCCAGCAGGACCGGAAGCCGTAGGTAGTTTTGAATGCGAGTCCCTTGGATACAACACACATCGATGGCTTGAGTTTCGGTGGTACGAACTAAACTCCTGTTGTCCTATACGCATCATGGTACGCACGTTAAATGTGGCTAGTTTGAATGGGCATCGATGACGAAGAAGAGCTTCAACTGGTGGAGGAATATTTGGTGAGACTTGGGCGCTATAAGAGGCGGGACGTGAGAGAAAAGGGACGGAATTTTTATCGGGGGAACAACTGGTGGTACGATTGTCTGGAGATCTTGACAATAATGATGTTTGAGGGGGTGAATGTGAGATGGAAGGAAAGCTGGTAAACGGGAAGTTGTGCACGGTGTAAAGCGTTTCTTTATGGGTGAGGAAAACTGAAAGTGCGATTAGTTACTTAAGCTGAAGGACACTTTTTTGCATTGTGGGTTGTTGCACTACTCGGCCTACTCCAGAGTAGGCCTTGCACTCTAGTCCTTATGCAACCAAGCGCGAGCTACAAGGCAGCAGTATTGTTCCAGATAAGCCGGTGACCGGTC